CCCCCCCTTTCTTTTTTTTCCCCCCCCCCCCCCTCTCTCTCTCTCTCTCTCTCTCTCTCTCTCTCTCTCTCGGCATGGGATGAGATTCAAACCCAAGACTTTTGTAATCATATTGAAACATCCGAACCATCTGGACCACTCATGGTTCCCAACATATTTTGTCAAACTAATGTGGCTGATTTTAGATTGTTTGGTTTAGTTTTATATTTTAAAGAATGAAAGGAAGTTATGGCTAATTTTTTAATGAAAATGTTTTATGATATTTGAGTTAAAATTTTTGATATTAAATGATCACACAGTCAATTATATCCATGGTTGGATGGGGGTGAAATAGATGAGGGGTCGCTTCCTACCTCGAATATCCAGTACTAAGCTGAGTTGCTGAAAATTCTGCACATAAAGAAACTTGTGAGAAGACGGGGACTGGTTCCCCCGTGGTTCCTCTAACGATCATGTCAGCTGATGAACTTGAGTGGGGAAAGTAAAGAACTGTGAGTTCTTGTGTGTATGCAGTATATAATGCAGAAGCAGAATCTTTAGATCAGGTTTGTAAACCCTCTCTATGTTAGAATAGTACCTATATTTATAGTGATACTGGAAGGGTAGAACCGACATTGTGGCCGAGCACAGGATGGCAGTGAAAAAGCTGGGCTGGCAACTGAGTCAGCTCCTGTTTTACAAGTGTCGGCTGGAGACTAGAGGAGAGATCACCTCAGCATTAAATGAGAAGTGATCGGAGGCATAACGGTACCGACGTGGTCGAATGAGTTATGAAGACTATCGGGGCTAGAGGAATAATGACACCTGCCAAGCATTAAATATGAAGCTAACACGTTGTCAGTGGGAGGGGCTCGAGGCTGAAGTTGTCCTCTAACTCCTTTGAGAAGTAAAACTTTTCGAGTCGACCTCGTGAGACGTTGAATAGCTGGTCGATTGGACTCGCTGTGAGTCGTCTTCGATAAGAGGGTCGATTAGTATCGCCCTTCGAGTCGACATGAAGAAACATTGACATGACGAGTCAGCTAGGCTGGAATCCCTATTGGTCTCAGCCGCCAATTTGATTGGGGCATTGCATGCAGAAGTACACTCGTCCGCTGTTGACAAAGAGTTGCACTTAGGTGATTGAGAACACCATCACAAAAATTTAGTCGGATTTTGAGCTTTATGTTTCAATTATATTAAGCTTCAATTAGACATAGTTTAGTCCAATCGAAGTAATATCTTATCATCATACTATTTTTAGCTGGACTAGATTTTATGCACGTGCAATGCAAGTGGTTAAATATTGTGATTAGGTATTTTTGGTTTAATTTATTACTAAAATTTATTCCTCGTTACTCTTCGATAATTTTTACTCACTTTGATTAACTATTTTTTGGTTTATTTTCTTACTAAAATTTGGTTCTCGATTACACTTTGATTATTTATTTATTTTGATGTTTGTTTAAATAGACTACATTCAGTTTAAATTTTTATGTTGATAGTTGAATTGTTAAGAGATAAATATAATCTAAAACCAATTTAAATTTTTATTTCATTTGGATCGGCATGAAACCGAGCTTGACCTGAGGAAGTATAGTGTTATGAAAGTGAAAACACTTAAAAAATAACATTATAAAAGGAAGATGAATAATAAAGAGGAAGTATAGTGTTATGAAAGTGAAAACACTTAAAAAATAACATTATAAAAGGAAGATGAATAATAAAACCAACGAGCCAAGATGATTGATTTAAAAGTGGGTTAAAATAACAGAAAATGGTTAATAAAAAATTATAAACTGAAGATTAATGCTAACTCTAGTACACTTTTATATGATAAAATATACACATATACATATGAAAGCACTAAAAATGGTTTATGAAAATCCCTTCTAAAGATTCCTAACTTTACTAAAAATAAAACTATTCTATAACAATTCACAAAACATTATCTTTTGTTACTTCTATTTTATTTTTTTATCAATTAGTCGAGATCAATCCTTCTTTATCTCTACATTTATCTTGGTCAATTCTAGAGTAGTGTCTTCATCGTCTACATCAATTTTGATATGAGATTGGAGCATGTTATCTTTCCTTAGGCTCATTCATCTTTTGTCTTCTCGTCTAAATTCACAAAGAAGTTGAATATATTTCTTATATTCAACACAAACTTCTGACAATACAGACTTTGATTTTTTCCTATTTTAATTAGAATAAATGTTAATTTCATATATATGATTTTTTATACTTTTAATTTATTACTTAAATAAGGTTAGGAGCTACCTCTTTTTTCTCTACAATGAATTATTCTGTTGTGCATCCAATAAGAATTTCTGTTGTGTCATAATGTTATATTTGCTCTGTCTGTGTCATTTTTCATGAGAATCTGAACCAAATACATTATATTTTTCATTGTTAAATTACTTTAGATTATAATATTAATATTTAATTTTGATATATTTATTTCATGAAGAAGGAATATCACTTAACCTTAGTACTAAATCATGGATGATTTTACAACATTTATTATCTGGACACTTATTATTAACATCTTTATCAACTTTCTTATTATAGCTTTTACAAACATAGAACCGTTATTCAACTCTATTATAAATGGTAGTTATCATTACCTTAAAGGTGCGATAGTGTGTCTGTATATTGATAAATTATTCTTACATTTAATTGTATGAATTTTAGAGTAGATTTTCTACGATCATATCTCTTTCAAATATTATAATGGTTGTATATATTAGTAATTTGAATTTCTGTTGTATTTATAAAGATTAATGGAGATGCTTTTGCCTTGACAGCTTACTCTAAAAGAGCGTTGCATATTAGTTTTAAAATATAATATTTTTTTACGGTGTTAATTATATGGATGTTTGTTTAGTTTACTTACTATTCTCTTATTTCTTCAGTAAGTTATATCTTTGGATTATATATATTATTGACGCAATTTATGATGACATGCATATCTCCTCTATAAATTTAAGACAGATATAATGTGAGTTTTATATTTAGTGATCTTTAATATGAATTTTACTAATAAAATTTACTACCTTCATACTTAGATATCTTGAATTTTAATTGTGCTATTAAATCATTATATTTGATAGTGTCTTTAAGAATTGATCTTTTGTTAGTAGTCATACCCCTAAATAAAGTCATACGTAGGGTCGGGATACTATATAAGAAAAAGAAAAAGACCGATTTTATATTTTTGCTTACGCAAAGTCATGACATAGTAATTTTTCTTTTATCTTCTATGAAGCATGTTTCTTTGATGAGCACAAAGTTATTCAATATATTCTTCAGGGGGTATTCAGTCGGTGCTTCTTTGATAAATATAACTTATGTTAATGTTAATTAAAGTGATTCATGGACGTTCTGAATTCCATTTGAAATAAAAACCGTTTGATTTTTTTGAAGGATATCTCTAAATTTTCTAATAGTTCTCCATACATAAATCTTTATAATTTTTTACCTAATAAATATTATTACCATTAGAGATTAATATTTATAAATTATAATCAATTAATATTAAACTATTATATTATAGTCTTCTATCAGTTATCTGTGATTTAGTCTTCTATCAGTTAATGATACTTATGTATTTTTGTTGTTCTAATATATTGGTAAGATTATATCAAATTACGATCTTCTAATCTAATAAGAACAAGAGATCTTTCTCGATCAATCCCTTTGCCCCTCATTCTTCGAGAATCAGAAAGATCCTTTTCGGGTTTGAATTTGTTCATTTGGAATCTGGGCTCTTCTATTTTCTACTTATATTTTTGTTTTATTATTTATTTCATTATGTAGTTACTTTAATTTATATAATAATATTAATTTTTTAATCTATCATATATTTTTAAAAATTTTATTATTTAACTGGATATTTTTAATCTGTTATTATTACTATTTTTTACCAATATCAACTTGACTATTTTTAGATTTTAAAAAGGGATAGTAAACCTTAAATTATAAGTTATATTTATATATCTTAATGAAAAAATATCACACAATGGGATAGTAAACCTTAAATTATAAGTTATATTTATATATCTTAATGAAAAAATATCACACAATTATTCTTTTCTTTGCCAAGTTCTAAATTTTTAGTATATTTATATATCTTAATGAAAAAATATCACACAATTATTCTTTTCTTTGCCAAGTTCTAAATTTTTAGTTTTTTATTTTGGGTAATTTTAAACTTTTGAGAGTATTTTGTCTAATTTTCAAAACTTTTTGCTTTTTTGTAATACTTCATATAATAAACTGATAGTACAAAGATGTTTCATATATTTTTATTAATCTTATTTAAATTATTGAGCTATAGATAGTTCATGGGGTTTTAGGATAGGATATAAGAATGATTAGTATAAATTATAATTTA